CCTCCTCAGATCCAGCAGCCAAGTCCCGCGCCGACATGACAATCAGCACCAGCGAGACGGAGAACATGATGAACGAGAAGACGATATTTCCCGCCGTAGAGATGCGAGATTTGCCAGAGGGGTACTTTTGCGTATCAACCTTCTTCACCGCGCGATGAGAAAGCAGTAGCAAAACACCCGACAGTGGATCAAAGACGGAGTCAGCCATCGTGGTGAACAACGACAGCGAGCCAGACGTTATCGCAGCATAAAGCTGCAGCGCCGAGAGGATAACATTGGCAGCCAAGCTACCCTTCACAGCGATCTGATACTTGAGGTTATTATCACCCTGCGTCTCCTTTGCCTCGCGCTCGTGGTCGTCTACGCTCTTGAGATAGGAGCGGATCTTGTCGTTTTGGGCGCGATAAAAATCTTGCAGCTTTGCGTCTTTGGCGCCGCCGCGGGTGAAGCTGTGGTGGATGAAGCGTCTTCGCGTGGTGTTGCTGTTGTTTCGAGGCTTGTTTGTGTTGTATGCAGATTTGAGTTGGACTATGTCGGCGTCGGATTTGATGTGTGTGCCAAGGTTGTAGGGGTCGTTGATCTCGGAGGAGGAGAAGGAGCGGGATTCTGGGTCGTTGTTGGGGGAGAGGTTGGCGAGGTCGATGCCTGTGCTCGGCGCACAATGGGTTGTGGTAGTGGTTGTAGACATTATGAGATGAAGTATCTTGATGGACTGGAGGTATGAACTGTCTCCGCGAGCGTCCGATGCTGCGTTGAGTGTTCTGAACTATGAGAGTTGTCCTGGAATATCAAAAAGAATTAAGACGAGGATGTGGGATAATAAGGCAGGGAAAGTTGAGGCGGGTAAGCTTCAAAGGGAGGGAAAGTCCAGTCGGGCCCGACCAGGGAGGTAACCTACACTAGGGCAACTTTTGACGAAAGCGAAATGAGTGAGGGATATTTGAAGCGAGCTGACGGCGCATCATTCGTCTAAACATCCCCTCGTGCTCTGTCCCTTCGGCGCTAGACAGGGATGAGCTTGGGGCGAAATCGGTTAGCTACGCAAGATGATCTCGACGAGCTACCTGACTTGGTATGGCCTGGCGGCAAACTTTTGCCGCTGCGCCTTGGGGATGACGGGATGCTTGTTTGCTGACATTTACTCGCCGTTGATTGCCGCAACGTCCTTGCCAAGATGATGTGCCTGTACGTTGTCAAATGTATATGGGTGCACGGCAAGTGCGAAGAGAAACATGGGTGGGAAGAGAGGCTAGCCCAGAGACCGGCATAATGACGCAGTCCCAGACCTATGGATAAATTGAAGTTCGGCTAATGGCAAGATGCGGACACTTGTTCACACCTTCATTGAAGACTAGGATAAGCCTCGACCGCATATGCCAACGCTCTTGATCTGTTGAACATACTTTCCAGTCCGGCAAATCTCACGGAGCATCGCGACACACGGTTTACTTCACGACATCTCTGATCAATGTCTGTGCTCGGCTCTACAGCAGGTATCCCGCCTGTCTTTCGATGCAGCCTTTGTCCAAGGCCAAAACCAATCCTCATTCCTTCCAAACGCCAGGCCAATTCCTAGAAGCCATCAATCCATGTTCTCATGCAAGTCGTTTGTAGTAGTCACCATGTGATACCATGCTAATCCACCCCCAAAGCCCGAAAAAGAAATCCTAGGAAACATGTCATAATACTGGTCGACAGTCCATCCAACTTCAAATAGGCGAAGCATGTCCGTTGGCCGTGCCGTTCGTCGGAGGACCATTGGCTCTGGATGCTATGGTGAGCATCTGCTTGAACCTAGGCCCCAGCGCCTGGATAACCGCCTGCACATCTGGCGCTTCGGGTAAAGAAGACAGGTTCATGTCGCGGACGGCCGCAATGATCTCGCCAGCATCACTTGAAGCAGAACCCCGCTTGCCTTGTGTCGGCGCCAGCCCCTTGACGTCTTTGCCCAACCGCACCGGACCGACGGGCCTCACAGGCGTAATGAGGGTATCATCCATCAGGTTCTGCCATCGTACCAAATAGACACCCGGACCAGCCATACTCGTCGAGTTGCCCTCGATGATGGTCTGCATGCGCGTCAAGGACAGTTGTTCTAGGTCCCGTAGGTATGCAGCGTGAGCGTCGATGATGGGAAGGAGGGCCGCTCTGCTGTTATCGGGAACCTGGTTGAACATGTCACCCAGCTGCTCCTCGATGCTCGCCCCGCCGTTCTTAGTCTTATGGAACGCAACCAGGGAGTTCTTTGCCCACTCCCTGAACTGATCCATGACTTCTGGGCATTTGCCGCCCACAGCGTGCAGCCACTTGTACAAGAGATGCTTATTGTCCTTGCACAGCTTGACGTAGTCCTCCACCGTGGGCATGGTCTCCGTATCATCCTTGTTCTTCCCCTTCTTTGGTTTGCTGCAGGCGATCAGCTGGTCGAGGAACATGTGGTAGTCCCTGACATGGTCTGAGAGGTCGACCTTGTTGTGTACGGCGCGGATAATGGGATCCATCCCGGCTACTGCCTCGCGGACTGCCTGGGTGAGGTAGTCTGGGCTCTGCCTGCAAAGAATGCTGATGATTTCCTCTCGATCGCGCATAGCCAGTAGTGCTGCGTAGTATTCTAGGCACATTGTGTGCTCGTCCTCGCTGAGGTCGGAAAGTAGGATGGGGTTTGCGGTCTCGAGGATGACGGCGATGATGGACTTGTCTTGTTGCGCGCTCATGGCTCGGATCACTTCGCGTTCGGTCGGAGCGGATTGAGTGTGGGCCTTGATGGCATCTAGAGCGCCTTTACTTGGCCTGTTCTTGTCTTTGGCGATTCTGTCGATCGTCTTCTTGAACTCTGCGCAGTCCCAGCCGAGGATGACGGAGATGATCCTGCAGCTTTGTTAGTCTTAATGTTTATCTAGGTAGAAGGGCCTCAGCTCAAGGAATTCGAACCTCTGCATAAGATTCATGCCATCTGCAGCATCCTTTGTTATGCCAAACCAGTTCGAAACCGAACCGACACTGAGCTTGGCCAGAAAGATTTTCATCATGCCAGCGATCATTGTCGCAGCATTGCCGACCTTAAGTGTCTGCCGTACCATGTTGTATGGCACCATCTTGTGAACCTGCTCCATAAGCTTGACGAGGTACTGGCCCTCAGGTGAGACAACCAGCACTTGGTGGGCAAGTCCAGCCAGGCTGTAAGTCCGTGTTAGTCTCTCTGACTTCCTCAAGTCGCCTTCGCACAGAGCAATACTCACTGGACAATGATGTACTCGTTGGCCGCCTGGGTCATTGGAGAGTGTGATTCAAAGTCGTCCGTCTCGGCAAGGTGGTCAAGTAAGCTGTCGCAGAGGTCCCCGTAAACGAGGTCATGCATAGCATCATCCCAGGCCTGCGCCAGGTCTTCCGCTCTGTTCAGATCGTACTGTTCAAGCCGCGTCGAGGGGTCGCTATAGGGTCCGCCACCAATCATGCCACGCGCGACTGTCTCGATGACAGTGGATGAGGCGGTCGCCAGGGTCTTTCTAGTACCCAGCGCGCCCTTCTCGTAGCTCTCGGACAGCTCGGCCTCGGCAAAGTTCTTAAGGATTCCTTGAACTCGGACGTTCCAAAACTCGGGAACAAAGGAGGAGACGCCCGGTAGCTTCAGGATAAATCTGGTGAAGAGAGACTGTAGGAGGGGTGCCGAGGACTCTGGGGCATAGGTGACGGCCTCGCCGGGCTTGGAGCTTTGCGCAAAAGGGTAGCCATAGTCGGAAATTGTCTCTGGCTTCTTGAAGTCTTCGATCTCGTGGTAGGTCTCGAAATGGGTGAGGATATTGAACAGAGCCTTGATCTGCTCGGCAGTGAGGCCTGAGGGCTGTTGGGTCGCCATGACGGGAATTCACAATGACGATATGCCCAGGGCTGTCTATCGCTGGAGCTTCCTCCGACTCTTGTGTGCCCCTGAAGATGTCGATAATGTGGTGAGTTGAAGCAGCAACGGAAGAATTGTTGAAGATATTTGGTCGACAATCCAAGTCGACGATGTGAAATATTTCCGTACGGAAGCAGGAGCCAAGTGGTCGCGGCTTCCAGCTGAGATCAAAAAGATGTTGCGTTTCTGGAAGGTCCCCGCGATCGTGTTCGGTCACCGGTGCTCCGGTTGAATTGTGGATCACGGGTACGTGACGTCATGAGACTTAACGGTATGTCACTGGTTCGTTTTTCTTCAGAATTCGTGCAGAGGTAGGGGAGGGGCGGGGAATATTCACCACTTAAAGATCTTAACAACGTCCTCTTTCATACGTCGATTCTGTGAATAGAAACAGTGAACAGACCGCGGGAGTCGCCGTGTCAAGTGTCAGTGTCTCCAGTGTCTCTGCCCTGCCCCTGTCGGCTTTGTCTGGGCGACCCTCCTTTCTTATTCGGCAATCTGCAGCACCTTGCATCAGTGCAGATTCCCAGATCTGACTTGACTCTTTCCAAGCATCTGATTTTACGAATACTGCATTGCCTCCTGCCACGGCTCTCTTCCTATTGTCATGTATGGCATGTGCGCTAGTGGTATTCCCGAGGCATAGCAGAGCATATGCAGGCTCAGCTCAGCCCACATCAGCTTCCCATTACTTGCATGTATCAAGCAGAGTACGTGTCATTCAATGCCTTCTCACACAAGTTTCGTCCGTTGTCTGAAATGATTGGATGCCTCATCACATCCAGCTCCCTTAGACTGTGGAAAACTACTGCCCTTGGCTGGGGAAACTAACCTATTGTGGCTGAGTAAACTCACTTTAGCTAAGCTTCTTCTGCAGTGCGAGGATTAGAAGCTATTCCACATCTCTAGCAAAAAGCTCAACGGACGATGCCTTCTCGTCTATCCGAACATGCTAGATGATCTCATTCTACACCATTTTCAGTCGCACACTCGAGTCCGGCTCGGTGCGCTCATGGGCTCAATCTCATGTTCGTGTTTATTACCCACTTCAAAATAAATATTCACCTCGTGTTCGGTCCCCCGGCCGGCAACTTCCCCCAGCATGAATGCGACCCTCAAAGACCCCCGCAACCGAATGCGCCGGGTTTCAATCCTGTCATGGCAAAAGTCAATGTTTGCCCCCCACACCGGGAACACGTCCGAGGGGCACCCGAGTCAAAGCACGAGCTCAATGCCCAAACAGGTAATCGAACCAATGCCATTTCAAGATCCTCGGTCTTTCCTATGACGGCCAGTCCCGTACGACTTCACTTTGTGCGTCTAGACCCGAAGATTCGGGTTTGATGTCGTCGTTGATAAAGATTTTCACTCGGAAGGTAGCATGATGTCAAGGTACTAAGAGGGTAATATTGCCTCATGAAAAAGCCTGTGGTAGTAAGAACTGGAGATCGCGATATGCTCCAGCCCATCTTAAGAGACGATAATCAACCATTTGGAATCGATAGTCGGACTCGCAATCGGACGGCACAGAACTCGATAGCTATCCGCTTTCCGCATGTCGCAATCTGTCAAGCAGCTCATCTTTCAAGATCGGGCCGCGTCACACTGAAGCTGTCAAATGGATCCGAGGGCGCTTCAATTGAGGTCAAAGCAACAGGACCGGATCCGGCCCCGCGATACTCTAAGCAGTTCAGTACATTGTCATCAGCTTGTGTTTTCTGGATTGCCTCGGAGGCTATGATACATGTACTCTGGGTTCTTATGTTTGGCAGTGATTTATCACGATGTATTTCGCAAGGTAGTTAATCGCACGTTCAGACTCTGCATCCTACACCAGTAGTGGTCGCTCTGAGCTCATCTCACTCAGTGTGAGATCTGAGTGAGGTGAGCTCACGAAACATTTAGATGAATGAGTATGAAGCGCCTCTTATCAAATGAAGCACAAACAATCTAAGCAGCTCCGGGTGCAGCGGAACTAATTAACCCCGGATCAGACGGACCCTTACCCCGATCATCTCCCCACGGAATCAAGATCCATCTGCCCGGGTTCACTCGGCAAACGGTCAACCGAAAGCCTACTCAATGGTAGACTCGGCCCCTGTTGGCCCGAATCAAAAACCACCCACCTTCTTCCCACGAATAAGGAGCGCTTCAACAGACGCTATTCAATCGCTTTCCCACTTGTGCGCAAATTGAGCAACGGGTTTTCAGTATTCATCTAGCTTAGCGGTCCCGCCGTTGTGTCCTTTGCCTCGAAATGACCCCTGGTTTACGCGGGGAAATGCCCAGCTTTTGGGCTTGTCAGTTCAGTCTGGTGCGGGGAGACAGGATGGCATCCCTTGCGCGCTGGATAGCTCTAGGTGCCGAGATCCGCTGTCAATGACACCCTCGCCATGGGACGAGGAACAATAAAATGAAGCTATGCCTTCGTGACCTTGCTTGGTGAGATAGCTCGAAAGACCTCGCGCCTGTCTCTACCAACATAGCCCTCTCCGTCTGGACGAGAATAAGTCGACCATGAAGTTTTCTGCAGTTTCCCTCCTTCTGGGAGCTGGTTCAGCGCTCGCAGCACCCACGGAGCGTTCCGATATCGACGACCGACAGGTACTCTGGCTTGCTGGCGACAGCACGATGGCACCGGGCGGTGGACATAACGGGACCCAGGGATGGGGAGAGTACCTGCATTATTCTCTCGACTCGTCAAAGATCCGAGTTAATAACTCTGCGTATGCTGGGAGAAGCGCGCGCACTTTTACGAGGGAGGGCCGGTTCCAGCGGATCATTGACGAAGTCAAGGCTGGGGACTGGGTTGTGATTGAGTTTGGTCACAACGATGGACGTACGTATCTGAACTGCATCGATCTTAACTCTCCAAGTATGAAAAACTCTGACAGACTTCTAGCTGGCAACCCGATCAACGACACAGTCAAGAACCGAGTCGACTGTCCCGGCATTGGAGACAATGTCTGTCCTGTGCTTTTCAAGTACGTCCATAGATATTGAGAACGTCATGTTTCTCCCTAATGATGACGATCTAACTATGTGTCTTTAGCAACCAAACGGAAGTAGTGCAGACATACACTACCTACCTTCGCAACGCCTCCTCAACTTTCCTCTCCCTCGGCGCCCGCGTGGTGATCTCAACCTCAACCCCCATAAACCCTTACTCGACCGGCACATTCTCTTGGACGCCGACAATCTACGCGTGGTACTCGTGGTACGTCGTCGAATCCCTCGGCGGACCCGCAGCCGGTATCTACTACGTTCCGCACGGCAACTACAGCGCCCAGGCCCTTCAGGTGCAGGGCCAGCAGGCGGCTGTCGAGGGTTATCCCATGGATGCCGTGCACATGTCGCCGAAGCTGGCGGATTCGTTTGCTGGGGCTTTCGTGTTGGGCCTCAAGTGCGGCACGTCGCCGCTGCAGGAGTATGTTGTTAATGCGACATCGAGACTGGAGGGGGGTAGACTGGGAACTTGCCTCCAGGTTAATGCGACGCTGCCCATTTAATATCCCATAGAACCCATAAGAGAAGGTTTATGTTCACATCTGGTTTTCGATGGCAAAGTGGTGTCAAACTACAAAAAATCACTTTGACCACTTATGAAAGTTGATCAGCCAAAAGACGAACAACTCGATTGATAGGAAATTTGGGATCTGTGAAGTTTCGAAGTAGACTAAGGGCCCAGTTACATTAATAATGCAGTAAATCCCCTGTACAATCACTATACACGTATCACTGGCTGCATGATTGGAAACATAGACGGTGAATTGGGACCTACAAGTTCACATCTGCTGATTGAGTTCGCGAAGAGAAGTTTAATTCTAGCTGCGCAGAAAACTGATACTAAACTTGTAATGTAAAATCGTCTCGCTTGCCAACACCTTGTGAAAAGAGTTCTCGAAAACCGTAGATCAGTCTACTTACCGTCGCGTCCTATTTCCACTACTGAGATGGAGCAAAGCTATCCTCAGAGTCGGAACCGTACTCCTTATCAGCGAATATATTGGAGCCATTGACAGTAGGTTCAAGGTGGTAGGCCCTCTGGCAATTAGAGCAGCAGACCAGTTGAGTGCGGCAGTCGCGCTGAATGGTCTGGCATCTAATGCCGTTTCTGTATGACGGGCAGTAGACGAAGTCGGACTGGGACGAGCTGATAGTGCGGCCGCACTGGCGGCACTTGGTGACGTTGAGGATGTAGTTGCACATGGCTGTGATGTAAACTGAGTTGTGAGTCTGTTAGTTCGATCGATGCTTGAAGCTGCTAATGTCAGATGGAGAATCCTTGTGGAGCGTTGAGTTGAAGTTGAGAGTGTTGCGTTAAAATGATGAGTTGAGAATGAGTTGCAGGAAGCTTCAAGAGCTAGTCCATAGTGGCACTTTTATCGTTTTCAGTCGGCAAGTTGATGTTGCCTGTCGTCTTTCACCAGCACTCATGGGTGCGAAGAAGTCTTGTTCCATGGATCAGTCTGACACCTTAGACTAAGCCATTGTCAACTGCCTCTTCTGAAACAGGACAGTGACCTAGAGCACCTAGGCTCAATCAGTCTTTCCGAGTTGTCTCCTTCAAATCTTTTCTAAAAACTTTTTAGGACAATTTCTGTGTTCTCGTGTCAAAGAACACGACAAAGGAGGGCTTCACCACAGACAAGGTATCCTGATCAATGGAATTTTTGATCGGGCCAAGGTTCTCCTCAGCCGAGGAAATGTCCGCACTGGATACCTAATTAAACACATGCAGTAAGTTATTCTAAGGTAGAAAAGACTGTGTTTGAAATGTCTCGTCCGAGAGTATCACAGATAAGAGGCTCGACTTGGTCAAATGTTTGGAGGTATGGTCTCGAAGAGGAGCGTTTGCTCGGTATGAATGGTATTTGTGGGGCACAAACATCGCCAAGACTTGCTTTCTCCGAACTGGGCCTCGCACGCGCATCTTCAATGTAACATCATTTGCAGCCAGACCGTCGGGCTGGGTTTGCCAAAAGGGACTTTTCGTTGGCCAAACACCGAAAATTCGCATGGTTATTGTGCTGACGTGGGATGCCTCGTTGCACTAGAAGAGGGGCTTTCCGCGGGGGGGTTCGTTTCATTTGCTGGATTTGCTTTTTACCCATGAGCAGATCAATAATGACCATCGAAGCGAACACATTGTGGTCCCTCGGACAATCGGGGTGCGGAGACCATGTCCGATAGTAGCGCTGCCGTTGGGACTAGACAAACATGTAATCTTTTAGCTCTGTTGGAACCAGATTCCGTCACATCAGATAACGAATGCGGCTTTGCTTTAAATTGACAGTGGCCGCTCGCTGTTGGAAGATTTTCTTAATCCAATTTTTCTTCCCTCGTGCGCACCGCTATCCCACACATTTCCAACACTTGCACTTTTGCTCAGGCAATAGACTGTATCAATGGGCTCTCTTGAGAACAAGACGTCTGTGGACAAGATGGAGTATGACACAAAAGAGAAGCTCGCTGCCTTGAGCGTCATCGAGTGAGTATCAACCGCAAGCGAAATTTCAAAAGTCTGGAACAAAGTGGACTGACCCTCGTTGAAGTCCAGAGATCGCAGAGGTTAGTCAAGGCTCGTTGGCATGAACTGACTCGGCCACTAACCATACTCCAGTACCTGGCAGGTGGGCATCCCTTGCCAGAGTCAGCTCCCCCAGCCCCAGACACGGAATTCGAGTACACTATCCAAATCCCAATGCGCGATGGGGGCCGCCAACAAGAAGCCCGCGTCCACAAGCCCTCCACGTCAACAGGCGCAAAGTCCCCAGTCATCGTTCTCATCTATGGAGGCGCCTTCACAATGGGTGACTGTCACCAAATGAGTCCCTGGGCCAGAATCGCCAGAAAGCTCTTCAATGCCACTGTCATCAACCTTTCCTATCGTCTGGCACCCACACACCCTTTCCCCGCGGCCCCCAATGATGTTGAAGATGGGCTCAAGTGGGTTTCTGAGAATGCGCACACACTAGGTGGCGACTTGAGCGCAGGCTTCGTTATCGGAGGCCCATCTGCTGGCGCAAACCTAGCGGCCGTCATGGCACAGAAGATGGTTGATGGCGCGACGAAGCTCGGAGCTCCTCTCACCGGTGTCTGGCTCCTGGCTCCACTCTTCCTCGAGGACGACATAGTGCCTCCAAAGTACAAAGATATCTTCCTCGCAAGAGAGCAGAACGCCGAGGCTCCGATCTTCAGTAAAGCAGCCTGGGGTTATCTTGCTGCCAATTACAAGGCAGACATCAAATCAGTGGATTATTCGCCTTTCAACTCGAAGAATCCCCATGTCGGAATGCCACGAACAGTTGTGCAGGTTGGAGGTCTGGACTTCCTCCGGGATGACGGGCTGGTTTACGAGAAAGCTCTCAGAGCACACGGGGTTGAAACCCGGTTAGATGTGTATCCCGGCGCTCCGCATGGACATTTCATATTCCCTGGTGTCGAGTCCGCGTTCAAGGCAAACCTTGACATCTTCAGAGGCCTCGGATGGCTTCTCAAGCAGGAGGTCTCGGAGGATGAGATCAAGAAGGCGGTTGTTGCAGATCCTTTCATGACCGTTCCGGAAAAATCGTCAACGGCATATGATGCCATATACCGGTGACCACAGGAATCTTAGAATGCCGTTGCATAAAATATCTTACAATTTACTCTTTGGCACATCTAAATTCTTTGTGCCTAAATTCTTACAAAACAGCATGGTCAACTTAGAGAACGATGGTATCAACTCCTAAGATTACTTCATGATTCTCATTACTGTCATTACTTTATAGCGGAGCGGAATTACTCCAGGTATCATCAAGCCTTCGACATCAGAGGTCTTTGCTCTCATTCAAAAACATTAGTACACAAGAGTCAGTAATTTCCCCTTCGCGTAATTGTCTTCTTACGCGTAGTGCTTCTGGCGCCCATTCTCAATAGAATGACTTGATCAGAGCGCTCTTCCATAAAACTCCCGCTCGTCCCTGGAAAGGGTTAGCAAAAGTATACACGCCATATAGGGCCAACATACCTGATTTGTTCCTGGCTATGGACATTGTGGTCGACCCGATCATGATTACTAAACTTCTGATCATCGTCTGACCCGTCTTGACTTTCTTCATCCACGCTCCGAGCTCGCACAATTCCCTCAAGCTTGAAGTCTGGTATGTCCACCAAAAGACAGCTTCCGCTCCGTGGGAGATTCCGTGCGCCATCCAAATCGGTCTCTTCCGTCGTCGATAGGGTACCCTTCCGCGTTGTAGAGGTAATCACGCTCCGATACGTGTTGAGCTCCATGTTGTTTGAATTTTCGTTGCTACCATCGTGGTTGACTTTGTTGTCGTAGCCAAGGGTAGATGCCTTTTCTTTGATAAAGACTCGTAAGACCGGAATCGATGATCCAATTATTGCTGTGGCCGTTTCCACAGCGGTCCAGATAGTTACGTCCTTTCCGTTGACTTGGGTGCAAATGTTAGAAAGATGACAAAAGCCAAATGCAAGAGCAACTAGTCAACTCACAGAAAAAGTCACCTTGTTCTAGTTGAACAAGATATATGCCCTTGATGATGGCGCATACGCCTGCCCTGTGGTGATAAGTCAGCATGAGGTAAGATAGTACGACGACTTGAGAACAAAAACATACAACCAGCCTAGGCTCATCGCAAAGCAAACGCCTAGCTTCTCGTGTTTTCTCAACCGCATCCCCCAAATGAGCTTCCAGGGGATTATCGCCAACACAAAGTCCATGAACGCGCACCAAGCCGCGTTAAAGATGCCGTAGTTGAGCGTCACAGACTCATCCCAGCAGGTCCCTGGCATCTGTCTGTTGAAGTTCTTTTGCACCGGGGTACACTTCAGCCATGTCAAGGTCGCGCTGGGAAGCATGACCACCGTCAATGTCACGACGGCGAACCACACAAATATCCTGAACCAGCCCGTCGTGAGCCGAAGGAGGGTTACACCAAACCCAACTTTGCTACCAGTCGAAGCAAAGCACGATATTGATGCGCCTACTGAAGTATACATGGCAATCGTTAGGAGATTGGCCTGGGGAGTGATGTCGTAATAGTGACGGCCGAAACCCAAGTTGACGCCCATTTGGGTGATGATCGATTCGACAAAGAGACAAGTCTGCAAGCCACCGTCAGTTTAGTTGTCAGATAGTCAGACAAACAGATACCTCGTTAAGAATTTATATACGTACCCACGAGAAAAGAAAGATGTAGTCATCCCACCACAGCTTCTGTCCCCTGCTTAACTTCGCGTACACTCGTAACGCCAGGAAGGTGCCACAGAAGAAGCAGAGAAACCATGTGATGCCCGCTATCAGAGGTCCGTTGCTCTCAATAGAAGTCATCGTGGCCGCATTTGGATGAGAAGAGGTACGGCCCCGAACGCGAGCAAGTCGAGTTGGAAGCTGGTAGTCGGAGGATATGGTGAGAATTCTGCCCAGGAGAGACCAAGGCCCAGAACCGAATTGCCGGGACCCTTTATTGGTTGGTCGGCGGAAATGCCGCTGCGAAGAGATGGTCAGACATTGATCATTACTAGTTCAGCTTTTGATGACTTAGGGATGGGGAAGTCGGGCTGAGATTGGATAGGTCTCAGTAAGGCGTGTAATGCTAGCGTGAATGCGATGTAACGTACACATGCTTAGGCCGTTCACTCCGATGCAGACTCTTCGGAATACTTCAGCGTATATGACTCGAGCCATGACGTGGTGAGAAAGAGGTTGGTGAGCGTTCGCGGGTGTGTTCGTTCTAAATATCGAAACAAACTGGGCCGACAGAGGCTCTCACTTGTCCAGTGCGGGATGCAAAAGCCGGAGGCGCGCCTCGCCCCTAGCCGTCACGGGTAAACCTCTCTGTTTAAAGTTCTTCTTACGGCGAACGGTGGCGGGTTATCAACATATCCTCCTCGGGCTGAGGCAAAAGTCGCTGCTTTTCCGTCTTCTGGAGGACACCTTCATCGCGGCGAACTGGGAGACCGTTGTCGGCGTTGTCCACTTGGGGATGCACATTTCAGACGACCCTCGGGCGGTCCTCGGTGACAGTGCTGTAACGGGTCGATCCAAACATTGTTCCAGACCACAAGGCAAGGTTGGAGGACTCGGGGGATGAGCCGATGGCGGGAACACTATCAATTCTGCCAGGAGCTTAAATCAAAGTTGGAATGTGAGAGGCTTATGCCATTGGGTAGCGAGACCGGGCAAAGTTCCAGCTTGGTAGGGGCTTGTGATGATCCAGGATGATTCAGTGGGAAGTGAGTCAATTTTACGAGAGCAAATCACACACCAGCTCTTGGTCCATGAAACATAGAAGTATTCCAAGCGTTGCATGTGGCGTCGGGCTTGAGTTCGCCATTACTTGTATCCATGTATTCCCCAAATCCCCCTTTAAACCCCTCTTGCCAAGATCATCTGAGCCAGGAATGCATCTTTATCGGCCTCGATTGTCGCCGTTGACTGCAGTTCGAGTTGATCGCAACATCAACACGAAGTTCGGTACAAATCAAACTTTCTAGCGAGCCGCGTCTCCAACGCTGGTGAGATTGGGCCGAACACACCGACCACTCATTTACTTCCATGAGAATTCGAGACGCACACTATCTTGCTGTGAAGAGAAAATCCAAATAGTGCTCGGACATAGATCTGCGTCAGCTACTGCGACATCTGTGCAGAGCATCAGATGCTGTCTCGAATGAGAGCACTCACCTCCTCTGTACGGAAAGGTGTTCTCTTGGCAACATCTCAAACCGCTTCAAGCTCGGCGTTGACGTCGAACTTTAAAAAGACGATGCAGCCTTACCCAAACTTGCTCCCTCCATCACGGCATTCTTATGTGATGACTTACGCGATCAGGCGGGGGTTTGGCCTCCGCATTAGCTTGAGGCGTCAGATCTCGTCTAGACCCTGTCGAATCTGGACCTTGAGGTAAACAAGATGCCCAAAACGGGCATAATATCTGCTTGTGGATTTTCCGCCACAACCTTATTGACGATTAGGTACATGAATCAGAATTGTAGAGTCAGATAGTTTGACCGTCGGACGGGTGATGGATACGACGGCTATTGAACTGGCAAGTCTGGCATGAAGGCATATGCTTTTTCTGAAAACTGAGGCTTCATAAAGGTTCGTCTAGTAGCTTCGGCATCTTCTCGACGAAACTTGGAGCGGACTATCGAACTCCTTCCTAGTCATGACAGATGGGACTCGGGATGTATCTCTCACGATGTTCACAATCCTCTGACGTTGTTTCTGGCATCTCGCGTCTCAATGGTCGATCAGGAGCTCTGTCAAAACTCTGGTAGTCTTCACTTTGGAAAGAATAGCCAAGTAGTGCAAGGCACGAAAGAAACTTCATCCCAGACACCGTAACTCCTGGAGCAGCTCAGCTTCGAGGCATCGTACACATGTTCAACATCTTACAGAGTGAGAGGAAGTCAGTGATTGAGCGGGGCTTCGGAAGACGGTACGGTCCGTTGAACGGCACCAGGGCCCGTGGGCTAAGCCACTTTTCCAGGACTCTTTGATGTGGATCAGAAAGACGCAAAGCTCCCCCCTGTGCCCGTCTTCAGGGTAACATGGATGTAGACTCAGGAGCTGCAAATTAGTTGTGTTCATGTGCAACGCACTAAGCTCCGCGTAAGTGAATTTGAAATGGAGGCATCTTTATTCTACTCAAAAGCTGGGCATTTCATCATCCCAAATTTTTGCTGTTCCGATATCAACCTCAACCGCCATTTACGTTTGAGACCGTGAGATCGACGATGACTAAAGGGAAACGGAAGCGCTCTGCGGCAAGTGGGGGCTTCGGGGCATGGCTCCGAGCCCGTAACACTGGCGTTCGCGGCCGGACTCGAAAGTTTGACCGTGGATTTTGCTGTCTTCTCGAATCGGAGTAGTCTACCCGTCGCTCTGGTCTGGATTTGTGAGCTATGCTGAGTGTGTTTGACGGTTGAACTAGTGAGACGGACGGAAAACTTCTAGCGCTGCCGTCGCAGCTAACGCAGGTGGTGGCACCTCCTAGTTGCTGCCAGTGACGTGGTCGGACGCGTGGAAGACCTTGCACCAGTCAAACCTTTCAATCCAACAGTCTTGATATAGGATGACAGATGGGAAGCCTGACTATAGAGCCGCTGTCTTCGGCATCTCATCAATAGTTTAGCTGAATCACAGAGGCCTGTATATGCCTCGCGAATCTGGTGATGGCATAGGAGACTGGTTTGCACAAGTCACATCTGCAGCCGTGGCCGAGTATTCTGGTGCTTCTAGCATTCGCCTCCATGGTCATGCGAAGTTAGCGAGCCTTGAGTATGATGTCGCTTGTTGCATAGTGAGGCGGGGAAGGAACCTCAACCGATTGTACGTCAAGTCAAGCTCATAGCATCGTGTCCAGATCATCGGAAAGTCCTTCTCCATCTGGTTCCCCTATTCAGTATCACGCAGTCAAGACAAGAGATCCTGCAGGCCTCTCAGCTTCCCTAAATGGCGCTGTCGAATGTGGTAGATCTCGGATAGCCGCCCCTGGAAGTGCTTGAAGGATTTCACACTAGCCATGCGCCTTACGAGTGAAGCGACCTCCGATTCGTAGCAAACTTGGGCGCAGACGGCGCAGTAGGGGTCAACATGCACATGTGTTTCAAGTCGGACCCTGATTGGAATGTTCGGCTTGCCACATGTAAACTCTTGTTTCCTTCCAACCCCCCCTCCCTTTCTCTTGGTCTAGAACCTGGCTGATCACCGCCTCCCGACATGGTGGAAGGCAGGAGAAATGTGTCGTGATCTCAAGGCAAGCGGGCGGGGTTTCCCCGTATCGACCCAGCTGAGCATCTCACTTGATTCCGTCACTGTCAGCACCATACAGTTCAGCCGAACGACTGAAGGTGGACGGACCAACGCCCACCGCCTTATTTTCAGTCTATCCATCGGCCCCTAACCAGTGTGCCAGTTTCTGTTAGCAGTGCAACTCCCTCTCAGCGTTGCGTGCCGTCACGGCTACGACATTGCTGAACCGTGCTTAACAAGGGGAACCGGGAGGCCCCTCCAAACGACCTAAATTGGGAACTCAATCCTGGCGCCGAGTGATAAGACGGTCCAATAAGAGAGTGGCCCCTCACGGCCAGGCCACATTTCGATAGCCGGTCTCACTTCTTCTGGCGCAGGCTGTGTCCTTGAAGATGCGCAGTTCCGTGACAGCCGTTGCGACTCATGTTAAAAGCTAGTTATTTGGGCCGAACACGTGCCCCATCTCTTCCGCACACTCATAAGGCCAGACAGACAGCTGTTAGGAGGCAAGTAGCTGTAGCCTCGGATGGTTTTCTAGTGTGTGTGTGTGGTTGTCAACTTGAAGTTTACTCCGCATGACTGGCCTTTGTTGAGGAGAAGATGTTACAGGACGCGCGGCGCGCCAACTTTGGCCTTTTGGAAACTTGGTGCCTTGCGCAGAGATTCTTTGCTCTTTAAACGCCGGATCGACCTTCACGCTGCCACAACTTCGCAAGCCTGGCTCTGCGCCGTACCTTATGTACTGCGGTCGAATCTCCTCTTTCGTGATCACCTAACTGATCGGGCAAAGCTGCAATCAAGCACTGCCGGGCGCCCACACCGGAAGGTTTAACAAACGGATACTTCCAAATGTTCCCAAAGCTCATCGGTCCACTTGGCGTTCAGTCCAACACCCAGATTGACGGGGATCATGCAAACAGGCGACAGCCGTGCTAATTAATTCGCTGCCAGAATTGTAACTGCAATGTTAGGGGGATGCATTTGCCTCAGATCCTTAAAATACTTTTTATTAGCAGCAAATTAAGCTTCGAGTATCGAGCTCAAGGCCAGACAAAACCATTGTGCCTCCCATCTTGCCAGCTTTCGTGTTCTTCAATGATACTATTCACGACATCGAAGTCACCCGCGCTGACTGACGAACACCACCCCCCCTTTTTCGAGAGCCGTCCACATCCGTACTCGCTCCACGCAACCGAAGCTGAACGCTGACGATCTCGTACCGGGGCGTCCGCGGCGTGGTCAGATTGGGGAATTCAAGCTCGATTTCGATTCTCGTCCCCTGTCAAGTCCCCGGTTTTAACCTGGCCCCCAGCAGATTCCGTGCGAACAGCCCTGCTATTGTCTGGAGGCCGAGGGGACCTTTTTTGCGACGCTGATCGCCCCCGCCACGACTCGTATTTTCGCAGCGAGGAAAAAGGGCCAAGCGTTCTGTCCTCTTCTTTTCGACTCGCGGTGGTTGCGAAATCATGATTTCTCGTCAAAACTGGTAGAAAACACAACGGAAAGCGATCGAGACGAACTCGCGCCGCCGCCTTACACTCCTTTTTTCTTTCTTCTTTCGCCATGGCCGT